AGAATGGAAAGTGACCAGTGACATTAAATTAGATCAGATTGTTATTAAAGTGTAATTACAGACTGGAAAAACATGAAAAATAATAAACTATCGCAGTTACATGATGAGAATAGAGAAAAATGACAAGCAATTAAATGCAACTTAACTTCAGACAAAACATTGAAGTGAAACTGACCAGTGACGCCCTGGTCTCGCCTCCAGCTCAGTGAGCGGGGACAGGCCCGGCTGGACCAGATCCAGGACGCCGCCGGCCGGGTCCAGGACTTCTACAGGCTGGTGGCGGAGCTGCAAGGCATGCTGGGAAGAGCCGAGGAGGGGCTGGACGCACAGGGCGTGGTCGGCACCGAGGTGGAGACCATCAAGCTGCAGCTGCAGGAGTTCAAGGTAGGAGCACCTCGGGGTCCGGTGTATGAGGAGCTGTGTGTGAGGGGCTGTGTGTGAGGAGGTGTGTGTGTGGAGGTGTATGTGTTTGTGTAGGTGTGTGTGAGGAGGTGTGTGTGTGGAGGTGTGTGTGTGTAGGTGTGTGTGGGGCCTGATGAGTCAGAGCTGCAGTGACTGCTGAGTCACTGCTTTGTTTCCCTGACGTGGCGTGCGGCGCCCGGGTTGTTTGCCTGGTTTCTCTGCCTCTCCCTGGTCTTCAGGCCGCGGCTTTGTGGGCGCTTTGGTCCTGGAGGACGGGGCAAAGCCTGTTTTTGTTGCTGCTTTTCTCGTGGTTGAAACCAGCGAGCAGATGAGACGCCGCTCTCAGCAGCTGGAGCTCTGTGTGGTGGATTCAAAGCCCTCTGGGAGCAGCTTGTTTTAACCCTTTCATGCATGAATTGTGATCGTTTCAGTCAGGAATTTCCCCCCCAAAAAGTCACTTTTTTTTCTTTTTTTTGTCATCAGAAACTTTTCCAGATACTCCAGAGGAAGAAACACGTGTTCAGATTTCTTGCTAATGAAATACTGAATGTGAACACATGTTGTAGAAACACAGGACTCTGCATAGGACTCATCTTATTCTAATATAGTCCCTCTCCTTCACCCCCCTTATTCTCTTTTAGTCCCTCTGAGCTGCTTTTTAACGGGATATTTTTGTGGAAATGTTTTCATTTTTATTGCATGATGCTCCAAAGTCCACTTCAGTGTCATATGCGCATTTAAAACATAAAAACCCAAACACACACATTAGCTTTTAATTAGCTCTATGCATGAAAGGGCTCAAGAAAGGGCCCCAAACACTGAGATAACAGTACTTCTGCCTCAGAAACGAGCAGATCGTCTGTTAACCATGCTGGAGTTTAATTTAAAGGTTTAGGGAAGCTGAACTTTAAGCATCAGGGG